GAACAGGTGTCATTGGTAAAGAAGGACACTAAGAGAGTAAACCTTAATAGAAGTTCTCTTCCTCTCACATACTACGAAAATATGTTTTTATTGTTGTGTTTACATTGGAAGAATTTCCCATAAATTCCTGTCCTAGTGACATCCTGTTATGGGGACAGGAAGAAAGAACAAGTTCTCTTCAATGGAAATAGAGTAATAAAATTCTGGTAGAGGTTGTAACCATTTTTCCACTTGGAAAAAAAGGGTGGAGTTGTCTCTGAAATGCGAACATTTCAAGAGATGATCAGATTTATATATATTAAAAATGTTTATGGTATAGTGAGTTGTCATATTCTCCAGTGCATAGAAAAGATCTCATTAACTCATGGTATGTACTGCTATGGCTCCTCAGAAGTAGGGAGGCAATAGGCTTGATTTACTAAAGGGGTAGAACATGTACACTTTTCAAGGTGGATTTTCACTTAGCTTAGTGAATGAAGTGAAGCTGTGCTGAATTCAATTATCCAATCATGTGTGAGCATAAATCCTTTGTTTTTTGTTTTTCAATTTTCCTTGTACATAACTGGGTATTTTTTACAAACTGAATTGTCAATGCATTTACAGGTCTCCTCCCCTCTCTTAGCCTGCGGCTCGACAGTAGACATGTGCGATTCGTTTCGTTATGAATCGAAATTTGTACGAATTTTCCTGAAATTCGTAAATTCGGAAGCATCCGAAATCCGAATTGCAGTTTCCGAATTATATCCGAAATACGAAATTCCGTTAACAAATTTCGGATACGTATTTCTTTGAAACAGGAACTAATATTACCCCTGTAAATGAGGTTGAACAGCATGACAAGATTTTTTTTTTTTAATCCGAAATACGGATCCGCTGCTGCTGAGGGTTGCAATGCATTACAATACACAAGCAGGAAATACGAAATTCCGCTGACGGAATTTCGTTCCGTTATGAACATTCGTTATATTGAAGTTAAAAAGCAAAGTACATTTGTTAATATAATGGAGTTGATGGTAGTTTTTTTTTAAATCCGAAATCCGAAATTCGGATACGGAATCCGTTAACGGAATTCGTATTTCATTTGGTTGACCAATCAGAGGTTTACTTTTCTCTTCTGCTGCTGACAGTTGCATTACAATACAGGCAGGAAATACGAAATTCCGTTGACGTATTTTCGTTCCGTTACGAACATTCGTTATATTCAAGTTAAAAAGCAAAGTACATTTATATTAGAGTTGATGGTAGTTTTTTTTTATACGAAATACGAAATTCGGATCCGGAATCGGTTAACGGAATTCGTATTTCGGATAAAAAAACAACTACTACATCGACTCCAATATTAACAAAGGTATTTTTGCTTTTTAACTTCATCATAACGAATGTTCGTAAAGTTACGAAAATGTGCCGAAACTAAAGAAAATTCGTATTTCGTGCGAATCCAAATTGAGTTTCGGACACGAATTACGAAATACAAAATAACGGATATTCCGAAACGGAACAAATTTTTTGACGGCGCACAAGTCTACTCGACAGTAAAAGGAGCAGCCTGATAAGCTCATCTCTTTGTCACTCTGATTTCTGCTCCTATCCTATCAGCATCATTCTTGCACTGCAACACAACTGATTGTCTTATTTAGCTGCTTCTCTCTCATCCAGTCTGAACCCTGCTGTAAAGTGAACTACAAGGTCAGATTCAGGTACTTACACTGCATGCCTTTATAAAAAATACAATTGAAGTGACCCTGTCAGGAATATCAATATGGCCAAAAGGTATACCCTACACCAGCACCAATGAATGCTGCTTCATTAAGGAGAGATCATCGGCAGAAAACTTATACGGAAACCAACACTTCTGAGAGCACTGGTTGCCTGGTCCCTCACTGTGTTCACTGCTTGCTCCCACTGACCCCCTTCCCCTCTGTAATAACATGAAGGTTGGTGATGAGTTCAACAAGGGACCAGGAGATCAACACTTCCAGGAGTGTTGGCTTCTGTAGAAGACTTCAGTGGATGATTTATCTTTGAAGAAGTGGCATTCGGTGGCCTGGGCAGGTGAGGATTTACTTTATTTTTTTTATTTGTTTTGCAAAGTTTTGTCTTTCAGGAATATTTAATATTTTAATCATTCTGACAGGATCATTTTCAGGACATATT